TATATGTTTTATGTATATATATTCATATATATACATAACGCGCACGCGCGTATGTGTGTATGTGTGTGTATATAATCTAACTATACATATAACTATTTACAAGTGGAGTTTTTTCTAGAGCAGGACAAGGAGCGAGGACTCAATAAGAATTTTATCCGAGAGGAAGAGGAGGAGAGAAAGAGATATGGATGATAGAGAATAAAGGATATTCGGAGATTTTCTGAGGAAGTTGGTTGGTTGTCGGCTTTAGGGTGGCGGCGGCAGTCGGTTCGGGAGTTGGTACTCGTCAACATGCTCCGCATCCCCTTCGCTTCCTCCGCGGAGGCGAAGGCTGCTATGTGCTGCGACTATAAGCGAGGGAGTAGTAGCTGAGGGATGTGATGTCCACCCTCGTGTTCGCGTCTCTTCTCTCTCTCTTTGTGTGTCGCTCGAACTGGTGCATGGCCGACGACGGGGTGTTAGACGTCTGTGTACTTGCTCAGTTTGTCGCGTAGCAACATGTTCTCATTTTTTAACCGGTCCAGCTCCTGTCGCAGACCCATATTCTGCAAATGAAGTGAAAAGGTATAGATTCGATCTTCTTCCCTTTTACTCTGTTTAAATAAACCTGAAATTCGCGGGCTCAGGCGTGGCACATTGCACAATAATGAAGATGTTTTCAAAACATTCATTCTATACTCTTCTATTTTTCTAAACTGTACTGTGCTTGACCGAGCGAATTTCGAACAGTTCAATTAGCTACTTTAAACTCTAAATCCTCTAAAAACCTACTACCGTGGTTCCCGATTCTATTAGATTTTTTATCTCGAAATGATCTCATGAATCTATCATTAACAGTTGTCACGGTCTGAATCATTCTGTATATCTTCAAATACACAACTGTCTACGGTAATGTCTTTAAATTATGAATTATACAACTGCATCGGTAGGTGCAGTCTACGTAGCGGTTTCAAATTTCCAGCTGTGAGAAAATTTACCTCTTTCTCGAGGAAGCCGGCCCTGAGTGCTATCTGGTTCTCCTTCATGCGACGCGCGTCTCGCGATCGTTTCGCTGCCATGTTGTTCTTCCTACGACGCGCCCAGTATTTGTCATCCTTCAAGTCATCCGGAACGAACTGCGACCGCAAACGGAAGAGAAAGAAAGAATATAAGAACGTTAGAACGCTTGTATTAACTTAGGCGAAAAACACGTAGCTTGAGATGAGAATTGAATTTATTACGGTAGCCGACTGAAATTTGGAAGCCCAAATACGGCAATGTAATTACACAAATGAATTAAGACTCACCTGCTTCCGCGATTTCTTGATCATAGGTTGGGGTTTGAGTTCCTCGTCAGAAAAGGCCCGGGTACGTGGATCGAAATCTCGCCCCGATGAGGCCATCGAGAGCGCTACAAGAGACAAGCCATATTGTATTCGTGACGAGTCCTCGGAATCTGTCACGCGGAAGGGGAACAATTGACAATGTCGACGTTAGTCTAGTTTACTATCATATACTCGACAAGCTCGACGTTATCGCAATACAGATTCTGAGATAGCGTATATTTTTTATCCTCTCTCTTTCTTGTGGTCCAAATGCGGCTACTATTGTTTACGTCAGAATGCTGCTTCTTTATACCTTTATTTCGTCACGTTTTTAGCCCGTTTACTTTCAGTAAAACTTTCCATTTATGACTTTCTACTGGATTTCTCTCTCTCTCTCTCTCTCTCTCTCTTTCTCTCTCTCTCTCTCTCTCTCGTCCTTCATTGCCTTCATTCCTTTACTTTATTTTTCTTAATTTCTCAATATTCCGTACTTTGTACTTTATCGAGCGTATTCTTCGTTTTCTACCAAATATTCGCTGCTGATATTTGTAGACACTATTAAAGAAATCTGAAATCTTTCAGATCCTTTAGTGTGAAGTCGTGTGAAACACTTCTCAGGATCTCGATATCACGAACGACGGCTACGACGAGGAATAAAAGTGAAAGAGCGAGAAGGTTGTATTTTACTTACTGGAATCCGCGGGAGAGGGTGGGTTCAGGGTGTCCGGCGAGCAGCATTCGCTCGGCGATGGTGATCTCTCGCGCTTGGTAACTGGTTCCAAGTGAAGACCCGCTGGTCCCTGATGCCCGGCGGCCTCGGTGTTGTTGATTTTATGAAGCTGGCTACCTTGCATGGCACCCTGTCCACCGCCGGCCACACCGTCGACGGGGATGCCGTTTTCGGAAAGAAACTCGTCGAGATCGACATACTATCAACAGAGATCTGAGGTGTTATTTCCGAGATGGTTTCTCGGAACTTTGTCAAGTTAGGGCAGGATCTATCTTATGCTTAGGTAAATGCTAGGCGGATGTCTAGAATCCTGATTTTTAATGTGCCTAATAAATATGTGAAAAGAACAAATCTAAGGTTTTGAATACAGATCTGAAAATAATTTTGAACCATCGAAATAATTTGATTGGAAACTCACACACACACACACACAAATTGGTTGCAAGAATATCAACATTTTTCTACAACGTTGCTTATCATTTTATAGTTTCTAGAATAATTATTTGGATGGGGTGAAACAAAATTATTTTCAGATCTGCATTATAGACTTTTCAGCAAAATCGTTTTTTTCGCGTAATAATAATATAATCATTATATGCAAATAACGATACACATAAACATTTTGTATCAATACAATTAATAATAAGTCAGAATATAGATACCTACATTGAAATCTAGAATTGAGTTGCTATCTATTAAGGTAATCGATTAATATTTTGTCAATATGTACAAATTCTCCAAAGATAAGCCCCGCGAAGCCATCGTGATATTAGCATAAATGTGAAAGCTATCCACAACACTCTACATGCCGTTAATTTTGAAAAGGCATACAAAACTACTTCGAAACGGAACTTGTAAATGCAACGAAGGAATACGCTTTCGTAGAACAATTTTTCTATCGTATTTCTATTTCATTTCGCACTTTATAATTTTGCTCTGTTTTTTTTTTTATCGAGATTCAAGCGGCATATCGCGATGGAAGGAACGCAAGTGGTGAAAGTTAGCGAAAGGTTTACGAAGAGTTTTATATGTTTTTCCAAAAATTACACATTATTTATACAATTTATTCATACTTCACAGAAATATTTTAATTATTAATTATCATCCACATATAGCAACTGTATAAATTAAGACGGTTCACCGAATTATTTACGTAATATTAAACGCGATTGAGTATTGCTTTCTTTAGAAAATAGACAAGTTTCGTGGACAAGTATTCTATAAAAGATTATCTAAAAAGATATACTTTTTTGATAAATTATTCAGATAGTTTGGTTAAAAATAATAATGGAGATAGAAAAGAATAGCCGAAACTTCCTCGATTCCGCCGAGGCAGAACGGAGAAAGCGACCGCTATTGCATAGCGACTTAATATTCGGCTTCCCGGTTTCTCGAGTCAGGAAGGCGAATTATAATAGAGCAAGTGTTACAATGGTCTACTACATTGATTTTTCATTCAATTACATGGCGTGCGTATATAGCAATTTCCGGGATGTACAATATATGTATTTTACGGAAAACATTTCTCCAAAATCAATGCTATTCTAAGAGAAGATGCGTATACAAATGATTTTAAAGAAAATGTAAGAGACAATAATGTGCCGCGTTATTATAAGAAGTAATGGACAGAAAATCATATAAAGATAGCGTCAACGAAATATATAAAGGTAATAGGTAACTCGAAAATAAAGACAAAAACGTACGACACATGATTAGTTTTAGCTTCCGATTTTATTTTGTAGAATTTTGGGATTAAATTCAGAGCCAAATTATAGGCTTACCGTATCGCGCCTTTATACATACATGGTTTAATACCTTCAGGTCGGCATCGTAAGGCAAAGTTTTGTCCCAGAGATTGGGCCCGAGAAAGGCGGCCTGCGCTTCCACGTTGCCCCAAAGTTCGCCGTCGGCATCCTTCTTTTCCTCTGGCCCATCTTTACCTTGTTTCCCTGCAAATTCAATTTTATTTACTTAGATGACGACATTTTAATTACTAATAATTTTTAATTACAGCTTTTAAATCGATAATAATTTTTCTACCAACAATATCAGTATTAGCTACAAGGTCTGCTATTACATTGCGAGAAATTCCTTTTTGCGAATTGTTCATATATTGAAACGATGCGAATTTACCGTTAAAAATAATAATCTTTCTTAACAATAATCTCGGACAGGAATACTACAAGTGCTATTGCCATACACTCGTTCGCTTTTGTTACAATGCACTTTTCTTTCCCAAAACTTCTGGTATATAACACACTTCTGTTATCATGGCAGAGTCATTGTATAATGTGTGACAATTTGCAACTTTACACATCTTCCGCTTTTCTATGTCTTTAGCATTTTTTCGTTACAACCTTCTTAGACTTCATAAATTTATGCTAAAGTATTATTGACGTAAAAATACACGAGTATACATTTAAATGTATAAAAGGACGTAAAATGTAACGAGAATTTTTACTAGCTTTTTATATTTTATTTCTATATGGTGTTATACATTATTCAACTAATGACGTCCAATTTTTCATTATCATCGTTTTTAATTGTCACGTGGAAAAAAAGGGAGAAAAAGAATACGAAAATACACAAAATACCATATTTTAATAAATATTTGTTTGAATTGTTCTAAGTTAATATTTAAACATTAAATGTAATATTTATTACAAGAGCCGTTGATATGATTTAAATCTCATTTTTTATTGAATAAATATTTATTTATTGTAAGTAAATGTTTGTTTAGTACTATTCAAAAAAGTATATATAATACTGTATATTAAGATTCAGTAAATTCTTTTCAATGTAGTTTGAAAATACTCATTCAAAAATAATAGGCGAATCACGTAAGAACATTGTTTTTTCTATCCCGCCTTTTTTAATTTCTTTCTCCACGTTATACGATATTATTTTTTAAATGTATTATAAACACTCATCAATCATCAATTGTAAATGGCATCAATTAATATGCAGCCACAAAATTGTTCGCGTAGAAATATGCATATTTTTGCTTGACTAGATTATCGCGTAAGCATGTGCATGTGTCCTTTCTCCATGCTTTTGCATTATCAAATTTGACAAAATTGTTCAGCTATTTAGGTTCGTGTTTCTACTTCGATAGACTATCGTCGAGTCCGGGGGGAGTGTCGGGTCGACTGTCAAGGCTATGAGAACATGCCTTGTCATACTACGATGTTGGTTACTCGTTGTTGGTTATTAAGATATCAGATGAAAATAAAGATGATTATGATAATTATGATGATTGATGATGATGACGATAATGACGAAAATTATATTTATGATGGTGACTATAATGGTAATGATCATGATAGGCAACGATGACGATGACATAGGATCACAATGATTAGCAACAATGTTTGACGGTAAACGCATTAAACAATTGCATTAAAAATAAGCGAGGTATATATAAAGCAATGAAATTTAGACTTTGGATTGCAACTAGTAAATTGTCTCGGATAGCTTCTTTGAAGAATACGTTTGGCATATTTTTCAAGTCTTACAGCGTGTAAAATGTTACACCAAGGGCAACATAATTCTATTCGACAGTATGCTAATTTCGTCACTTCTCTACTTTTTTCACTTCGGTTTGAGTTCAGAATATCGGCGGCTTGGCAGTCCGCTCTCGCGCGAACGGTTCGTCGAGGTTTGCGGTTTCTGATGTGCCAATGCGTTCTATTCAACTATTGTTGCAGTCGTGCCTGTAAATTCAAGGCTGTACTCACAATACCGCGTCCTGTCTCGACAAGTGCATTGAATATACATTTACGCATAATCGCGGAATATTATAGGATATTATACGATCGGATATTATACTCCCTCTCAAAGAAGCATCGCTAACGAGATTTTTTGGTAGCGACATAACGCGCGTGAACATCACGGATTATCGCGGCTAAAGAATGTTAATGACACGCGTGTTTAGTGCAATAAAACGTATGCCGAAGGCATCCTCGATCGATTACCGGTTAGCTAAAAATAATCGGCGTCCAAGTAGCGCCGATTAAAGGAGCGGAAAGTGAGATCGCGATTGAACCGCGCCTGCAGCGTCGCCTTAGGCGCTCCCGCCCGGGATTTCTCTATGGCATACGATATGGCTAAACAACTAAACAACGGCAGCCCGGTAATTTGGTTCAAGGCTGCTCGTCGGCCGGCCGGCCGACCGACCGGCCGGCTAACTCTGCGGAACTAATCTCTCGTGTTGCGAAGCGGTATTACCATCGGTATATCGCGCCGAGAGAACGAGCGGGGAGCAGCGTGTAGCTCCGTACGTTTGTACTAGGGTACGATGTAATCGGGCCGGGGGACAACGGGGGATCTTCCTGATTTCCATCCATTCATTCACCGAGGACTGCATTTCCGTACCCCCCGCGTATCACTGTCTCTCCCTCGCACCCGTCGCGTCCTCGTTTGTCTCTCCCGTTTATTTACAATAGCCGGCCTTTGGAGACAGCCACTGCTATACTCGCGGTACCGGAAACACGTGATTTCGAATCGCGAACTCGGCACAAATAGAATTCACTCTAGAATACTTTTTATTTTTTCATTTACATCATTCTTATACGTATGATGTACATTGAATTTTTCTGGACAAATAAGATCCAGTAGTAATTAATAATTAATTCATTGCTTCTCAATGAGACTTATTTGATTATTTAAACTCGGTTTATTATTATCTTCCTTTTTGGGTGTAATTCCGTATTAATTAAATTCAATGAATGTGGTTTCTGGATTTGAGAGACCGTATTTGTCTAGGCAGGAATTAATAGCAATTTATATATTGGCGCTCTACATTCAGTCGAGGATAACAATTAAAAATATTAAAAAAGTTAAATAAATGTTAAAATCAACATTATTTAATTCCAGATCATTTTTCATTGTGTACTAAATTATTATTGTTATATAAATTATAAGATAAACGTAGTTTAAAAAAGAATCGCATTTATTAAATGTATAATATAGTAAATCTAACAAATATAATAAATACGATAAATTGTTAGCTAATTATTCTAAATGTAAATGATAATTATGATCCAAAAATGCAAAAATCTGTAAGCAGCCTGTGTAAGAATTTTGTTAACGTTACTAACGAAATGCACAAATATGCAATATTTTCTAGGACTAGTTTTCAGGTGCATTTTGTTAATTGCACCAATAGATAAAAGTCGTGAAGATAACGAAGTTAATTACAGTGGACGTAAATACGCGCGTATCGCAGAAATGTGTTCCACTTTTTAACGGAACTATGGCTGAACTATTATTTATGTCGAAGAGTAACTGCAAAATATTTTTAACACGTTATCAGGCACGAAATGCCTACCTTAGGAAACGAGTCTGGTTGTGTTAATTGGAATTCTAGTCTGGTTAAAAATGGACAAAATTGAATTCTCTAATTGAATCTATTATAATTTCAGTTAAGATAACGAAAATTCTCATTGATCTTCTGATTTATTCATTTTCAACTAGAAATTTTTCTTAGTGCACTTATCGATATCTTAATATACGTTGCATTAATGAAATAAAATAAAATCGATAGAAATTGTCCTAATGATATAAAAAATACATAATTCTTTAAGGAATGTGACTTTTCAATGTTGAAGACAACATAAAAAATGAATTCTACCACATTTCTCGCGGCGGATCTCTTAGTAATTTGCGAAAATGATAGATCGGCTAATAAATCGTTAAAACTTAAACGCTGTTTAAATGCTGAAGACAATAAACCCGCTACGACGAACGCAGAACCTACGTTACAGCACATCGTTGTTTAGATAGTTGCCTTGGCAGCGTACTCTTAAGATTACACTTAGGTGACAAAAGACCACAGACATCATCGCTACGGTGTACCGCACGTTCATACCTGTCGACGCGAATTTATGGATCTTCGCGATCGCAAATACGCGTTACGTCATTGTTCGCAGCTAGAAATCTCAATTTCATCTCCCGACATTTTTTTCAAAGTTTCTATATTCTTTTTTTAATCATTTCTCACGTTAAGAAATTAACGAAATACTTGTAGAAACGCGTGCCAAAGGTATATTCGATTTGAACTCTGTTGAAAAATCACCGCCTTTATTCTTTTTCCCCAAAGTCACCGCGCCAATACCGCTAGTCATTTATACAATCGACGACACGCGAACGTCTAGGCAGGTGAACACGCGAGGATGCCCCGTGAATGCGTTTTTGGCACAACTCCCGCCATCCTTCTCGAAACTCTCTATAATAACTGTAACCGACATCTAAATGCACGTCTCCGAAGAGCCAATTCATTTCACCTGCTCCATAAACAATAGCTGTTCTCAAACGCTTCAGAAAGTCGAGCTACGTTAGTGCGGAGATATTCTCTTGATCTCTGTCACTTTAGAATTGTAAACTTTCAGTTAAAACGTGTAGTT